AATCTGTTTGATTCCAATTTCCAACTGAAAGGCTTCTATGGGCATCGTGAACTGGATTATTTAATTATTTGATTTCTTTTTTCATAAATATTATCTACTAGCTAAACAGCAATAACCATATACCTGAACTATTTATTCATACAAAATATTTATGAAAATACTACTTACGAATGCATGTCCAACCTCAGCTCTTCCAATTTTAACAGTATACGATAGACCAGCACCAAGAAGTAAATTAAACAATGGTGAACCAAGACAAGCGGCATATGCAATTCTAGGATAACCATTTCGAGCCAATAGGCAATTCGACATAATGTCTAATGCATCATTATCCCAATAATAAGAGTTAAATTATTATTCAAAATGTTTAAGGGACTTATATAAATGTGCAAAAAACTTAACATTATCTTATTATTAACATACTGCAGCTCATCCATAGTATAACAGTCAAGTTAACAAGAATTTTCCTCATACCTTTTTCAGTTATCTATCTTAGCTCATAACAATTTTCGTATAGTTTATTGGTAATAATACTATTAGAAACTTTTTATGTTTATTCATTAACTTTCGACAGAAACCACATTTTAATTGAAAAAAACAGTAGTAAACTGAAGAGTATTTGTCGTACGAACCTTAATTCTTGATTTGATTCTGCTCTCATATGGGACACTTCATATCATACAACTACTAGTGATTTAAGTTTACTCTCCTTAAAAAAATCTTCCCTTATTTAAAACCTATCACCTTATCAATTACTCGTTTATTTCTTGGTAAACATTATTTCGAGTTTATTTTCTAGCATAGATTAATCTTTACATAGAATGCACTTTGTTATGTGAAAAGTAAGTCAGACATTTTCATTCTCAGTTTAATGAGTACAAATAGCTTTCACGTGATAAGTAATTGTTGACTAGAGAAATTTCAAATATGAATAGATGATAACTATTCTCAAGAGAATGATTTCAATTTCGAAAATCACGATAGCTGTTCTCAAGATTCCTGTTCAAAATGAGAATCTAATAAGTAGCTTGAGCTTAACTAAGAAGTTTTGTGTGATTTATTTTACCAAATCAAAATATTCATACAATTAACATTCAGGACATTAGCATATTCTCATAATTAGAAAGAATTCAAATTAACTAGTAGCATTCATTAAAGGGTTGTGAAGATTGTTAAGTTACACGTTTGCAATCATGAATTGGTCAAAGTTAGACCACCATTAGAAACCTGGAATAACTGGAAAGCCGTTTCGTCCTGGTATGGGACTCATCAGCGTTTCTCAGGATTCGGACTCAGGACCTTCGGTCTTACGTGCGAACGCCTAACCTCTGGACCACTGAGCCGGTATCTACCGATGTTAATTTCTAACTTCAATCAATTCACGGAGTTGCGCAACCTCATTCACTGTCTTCGGTAGTTACTGTCTACTCCCGAACAGGTTGAACTTCATCGGTCACGACTTCCCACTAGAAGCATTCACTAATAAAAAACAAACTTCTGTTTGTAGGATTCATGACTTCGATATGTACATTCTAAAATTGACTAAAAGTACTCTCATATCTTCTAAAACACTATTCTCAAATAAGTGGATTAAATATTTAAAATATTTGAGTTTGATCATTCTTGAATACAACTTTGATAAGCTTCATACCAAACCAGTTAAAATCTTATCAATCATTCAAAGAAAGCAATTATTTGTAACCAGCATTATCTGAGTTAAGTTGTCTTGAACTTATTATTTCAATCAAAAGGATTCATTGTGATTTCGTAAACATTCACAATCATACATCATCATCAGCAACACTAAGAAGTATGGTTGGATCACATACACACAATTAAAAAACAAATAACTATTATCTCATGATATTTATTAATTTCAAAGAAAAATTATTTTACTCACCTCCAATTGAACTAGCTAATGCCATAACACTAAGTCCTAGTATAGCTTCACTAATTTCCCATACAATACCTAATGTTTCTAATGAATTTACTAATTCATGTGCTAATGCATATATCCATATAATTGATGTAATAAAACCAAGTGTAGCAAAAAATGGTCTATGATAATGTTTTGGTGGTTGATTCCATTTTGAAGTGAAAAACACTGTCAATGCAATTATGAATCCACTTGCTAGAAATGGACAAAATATTGGTATTGGAGTTCTTCCAATTGGTGATAATCCAATACATTTACCATTAGCTAAGTAAACAAAATGAGAAAAAAAACTAATAAAAAGGAAATTGTATATCTAAGAAAATCATAGTTAGCAAACCATGTGTATGTATTTAAATAATATAATAAAATTTTTATAATTAACCTAATAAAAGTCGAATGTTTACATGTATTAATGTACATCCATTAACTGAAATACTCAAGTTATCATGAAAATGATTTAAAACGAAAAGACCAATTACTTTATGAATCATGTAGTTAAGTGTTAGGATATTCGTCCAATATCCTAAGAGAATTATTTATAAGTCTAGTCCTATTGGTCAATTTCTACTGGTCAATATCAGGGTCGTCCTGACTATCAATGTCACTTCAAATGTTGTTCCCTATTGATAATTCTAACTGTCAATGTCACAGACTTCAATGTTGTTTCCTGTTCAATCTAAATGTATAAATATGCATTATTTGTAACGTTTTATGGCCCAGACCAGGACCCAGATCCCTAGTTACGGGTCCTGATTCTCTTCTGAACTCGGACCTCGTACTTTCCGGATGTTTGCAGAATACATGTTCTACTTCATATCAAGTATTCTTCTTTTACTCAATGGGGGTTTAGGACACTCGGATCAGAGTAGCCTGTCGAGTCACCGGATCCTCGATCCTCGCACTCGTTTACTGACTAAGGTAAACTTGTAATCGTTCAAGCATATCAAATGACGTGTTTACGTGCTTGCATAACACTAAGCTAACCAAAGAACATGTTGTTTAGAACATTATTAATGATATATTATAGACGTTAGTGGTGACCAACATACTGATAGAGAAATGAACCAGAGTAACGGGTGCTTTGTTTGTGTATTTACCAGTCCTACTACTCGGTAAAAGAAAGTTATGCTGATTAAGATACTGTTCACCATCTGTTAGAGTGAAAAGAAGAGACATGCTTATTAATGAGCGATAAAAGGATTCGGATGCATTGATAAGAAATTATTTAAAGATTCCCATTGTGAAAATTAGAACATATATAAGCGAACAATATTGTTTTCGATTAGATTGTCATCAGGCTTAACTCTAATATACATGAATATTTATATGAAAATGTTAAACCAATCAAGGCAATTTGAGTCATAATCACAATGAAATGAAAAAGATTACGTAACTACGTATAATAGGCAAAAGTACAAGTGAATAGTGGGAAGACAGGTGTACTGATAGTAGTAAGAAAATTATAAATTATGATAACTAAATTTTTATCAATAGCAGGTCAAACGTGGCTGAATAGTCTTCAAATAATCATTAAAAACATCAAAAACCATTATGTAATAGGCAGATGTGTAAAAAAAATAAAATAAAAAAATATATATAATGTCAATTGTTAGTTACGTCATATCCGGCCACGGAAGAGATAGGGGTGTCACGAATTTCTTCTGAACACATAAATTGGGGTTGAATGTACGTATTCCTATGGCTTCTGCAAAGTGTAGGAGACGGGATCGAACTCCGTTGGGAAATGATGGAGGTATACGATAGATTACCCGAAAAGATCTAGATTTAGCTACAATGTGACCAATATCTACCAGGTGTGCTAAGATAGAACTGCATATTGTTTTTGACTGACCCTTCTTAGACCATGCTGGGAGATGTTCACTCATTCGCTGCGTAAGTTGCCTGGAAGCACGCCCAATATAGATATCTCCACAGGAGCAGCTGGATTTGTAAATGCACATAGAGGAGGCCGAATCAGGTAACTTATCCTTGGTTTGGGTAGACATCACTGGTCGACTGGAGAATGTCAATGCAAGTTTGGCAGCGTTGAATGTTCTATTAATTACTCCTATTATTCTTTCCTGCAGAGTATCGCAGGCCACATCTCCGTTGAATTGTAACTTCATAAATAAAGGCTTCTTTTTCGCGGTCGAAACCACCGACTTCTTTTTTACGGCAAACATATACTTGTTTATGAATGCGTTGGGATAACCAATCTCGGTTAATGAGCCGTTGATGAATTCCAGCTCCTGACTTAAAGTATCCACTGAACATATCATATTTGCTCTGTTAGTGAGACATCTAACTAAATTTCTTTTGTAGCGGATAGGTGTAAAACTGCAAAAGTGAGTGTATTGGTAAGCACTGGGATTTTTTTTATACAAGCTTCTATTTAGTGAACCATCACTTCGCCTACTTAGTGTGATGTCAAGGAAAGTCAGTTTTTTTATCAAATTATCTGCCTATTTCAATACATGATTATTGTGAAAAAAATTTAAATTCTTTAATTGATTTTACTTTACCTGTCAATAACATAGGCCATAAAGCTGGCACAATTAAGCATTGAAAAACATTCAATGGTTTACACCAGCCATGCATTAACTCTAAATTCACTGCAATCGGTTCATTATCAGTTTTTTTCTCTGTAACAAATTCTGTACTATGATGATTCGATTCAGATTGACTAGTAGTAGAATTCAATGTAAATTTATTCTCTTCTGGAATTGTTGTTATTTCTCGAGATGGTGGTTGTTCATCAATTTTCTTCTGTTCAACATTTGATTTTTCAACTGAAACCTCTCTTTCTGTGCTGTCTGCTAATTCTTCTATTACAGTTGGTATTGTTAATCTGAAGACTATAAATATTGGTGTTTGTAAAATTTGTAAGAAACGACTAAAGATTGATTGTTGAGGCCATGATTCTACATCAATTGGTATCATATAATAGGCAAAATGATGCCATACACCTTTCATAGCCCATTTTTCTAACCAAGACATTTCTTCCTCTTCTTCTTCTTCTTCAATCTCCTCATCATTGTCGTTCTCGTCGTCTTCTTCTTCCTCTTTGATTGCTGCCTCTTTTACATCTTCATATTCTTTAAAACTACCTTCTTGATGAGGGAACTTTGGAGAAGTACTCGATAGTTTCAGATCATTTTCACCAATATCTGTGATTTGTTGTTTACCTTTTTCTAAATCAGATGGTAGAATATTTAATTTGATCTTTTTCAATGAAACAGATGATTTAGGTAGTGTTGTATCCTCTTCTTCAACTGAATAATCCGATAATGTTGGTGATTGTTGCATATAACCTGGTGTATTTGTCATATTCGATGTATGACGTGATCCTTTACGACTAAATAAATCTTGGGGGAAAAAAAGGATAGTGAAGAAGTAAAATAAATGAAAACAAATTATTAGTAAGAAGTAAACTGTTTGTGTTTGTTGACCAAAGATAAGAAACGCTAAATCAACTCTTTCGATTAATTCGTGTGCTTTCTTCAACCAAAAGAAGGAAGAAGGAATAGATATATATATATATATTATATTTGTTAGTTAAAGCAGTGAATCTACTGATGTAGATTATACATATCCATGGAATTATTGAATAATTTGTGTTCACTATTGTCAGTTCAATGTATCTAAATCTACCTTACTTACTTACTTACGCCTGTTACCCCCAATGGAGCATAGGCCGCCCACCAATTTCCTCCAACCAACTCTATCCTGTGCTTCCGTCTCCAGTTCTGTCCAATGTTTGTTCATTCTTCTCATATCTTTCTCTATTTCTCGGAGTAATGTGTTCCTTAGCCTTCCTCTTTTCCTTTTGCCTTGAGGGTTCCATGTGAGGGCTTGTCTTGTGACGCAATTAGGTGCTTTTCGTAGTACGTTTCCTATCCACTTCCACCGCTTCTTCCTGATTTCATCCTCCACTGGAATCTGGTTTGTTTTCTCCTACAGTACGTTGTTGCTGATGGTGTCTGGCCAACGAATCCGAAGGATTTTGCGTAGACAACTGTCAATAAACACTTGTATCTTCTGGATGATGCCTTTCGTAGTTCTCCAAGTTTCCGCTCCATACAGTAGAACTGCCTTGACATTTGTATTGAAAATCCTGATTTTGGTGTTGATTGATATTTGTTTGGAGTTCGAGATATTTTTCAATTGTAGAAATGCAGCCCTTTCTTTGCCAATCCGCGCCCTCACATTTGCATCATATCCACCTTGGTTGTCGATGATGCTGCCAAGATATTTAAAGGTGTTAACATACTCCAAGGCAGCATCTCCATCAAGAGTGATTTGGTTGGTGCATGTTGTGTTGCATCGGAGAATTTCGCTTTTTCCTTTACGTATGTTGAGATCTACTGCTGCAGAGGCTGCCGCTAAATCTACCTATTGAACAGATATTTAGAGTGATACGCATCTTTTCGTTCATTTTTATATCTTGTTGACTCAGTTTTTAGATCTGTTTTTAGTGAATCAATCAATCTTTATCTACAGTCTTGCATTCTTCTTTGTATCGAGTCATATCCGTCTTGTTCCGTTAACTAATAGGAATTTTATTCAGCAGTTATAGCTAAAACAATAGCATTGATCAGTTCTTTTAAGAAGTGGCGTGAATAATATAAAGATTTGTAATGTTTAACTGATTATTGATTAAGTGAACATTTTAAGCTTATGAACAATTTATAAAATCTATGAAAACGAGAGCTCGATTTAGTATATGGTCCTTCTATTCAGTCAAGGATTATGACCACATTATTAATGTGTCCTTATTTTAAACTTTCAATAATCTAACTTAATAACTGGACATTTAGTTTAAGCACAAAGTAAAATTTATTTATCATCAACTATACACCAAATACAAGCTTCTACTATACCCTTCGTTCAATATTTTCATAATATTAGTTATAGTACTCATAAATAAATTAGCATCCATTTATTCGATTAGATTTATAGAGATCCACTCAATTTAAATGATAAATTTCTTCACAAACTAATGTTTATCGAAGACCTAATAAAAACGCATTACCGTTGAGTATCATTTATTTTTAGTAGGATACTAACTCACATATGAAACAAAAAACATCTATAGATTTTAGGCAATTTTGAATATTAAATGTTTATGTATGATATTACATGGTAGAAAATATTGACTATCGATATGTTTATTTATCACGAACCAGCTGAATCAACAATAAAAATGTTTTGACAACATCAATCGATATATATATATATATATATATATATATATATATATATATATATATATATATATATATATATATATATATATATTTATAAGATCAACTAACTATTTCCAGAAGTTATATTCTCATGAATTTGTTCTTCCGGATCATAAGGTGAAGATTTCTGTGATCTTCGTGTTTCTCCATCTCCTAGAATACAGAGTAAAAATTTTATCATTTTCATAATATATAATAAACTAATATTAACAAGTGATCTAATAATTTAAACGATACTATAATGTATGTACAAATTGGTTAGCAATATATATCACAAGATATCGTGTCATATTGAATTATTAAACTCATTTGTGAAACTATGGTTTCACTTAAATTCCTGTGTTAGTTAAATTCTTAAAATTGCATTTCTATTTGTGAACTGGAAAACATTCATCACGAATAATAAGAATGGATGAATAGAAAAATACTCGTTAGTTTATATGTAATCAATTTTGGTCAAATATAAAGAGTACTTTGTGCAAGAATGATTACTTAAATAACCAGAAAAATAATTGACACTATATAAGTGCGAAACAGTCCAATTCAGTAGTATCATCATTCATAAATACTTGCACTAATAATACAAGCCAAATTTATATAGAAATAAATAAGTTAAAAGATTTCTTAACATAATGAACCACATAGAATAAGTGAGAACTGTTATAGACGAGGTAAGTGATAGCGTTTACTTAAAAATTATATTGAATGAACCCATATTTTCTTATTACTTTGAGATCGCTGTGTATTCGTATCGTTTCAGTCTATTATCGTTGATTGTAAAATGTATAACACCTTATTGTTACATTTGTTGATTGCTTGTATACTTCATGAGTTCTGTATTCCCCTTTCGTCTCCCGCATCATCTTACTTAGTCAATAAGTTGTTTGAGCTTAATTTTAGGTAACTTCAGGTTCTCCATGAACTTCTTTATTCCGATTCAATGAATAGATCAGATAGTTTTTTACTTTTCTGTTATAATATGTCAATTTAATTTCAACAACTTATATTTATTAGTCTCATTCTTTGAATCATTTTTACTTATCTGCTTCAGCTACTTATTAAAACTTTATTGATAGTCAACTGTGAAAGGTTTTGCACAAGGAACATTTTCAAAAATTCCCAATAATACAAAATACAATTAATTGATCACTGATTAGTGACTTATGTTGTGTTTGTTAAGTCCTTTTTAATATCGCGGAATTCGGTCGACTAAGTTACCATGTGACCACAACTTTGAGTAACTTAACATCGTTTGCTCTATATAAAAATGCTGTGTGGCTATATGTAGTCAATAGGAAACTATGGGTCTAGGTTTGGCATTCTTCAACATGACGTACCACACTGTAAACTAATCGACAAGATTCTATCATTACTATAAAGAATCAACACTGGTCATATTGACTACCACCTAACGACCTGGCAGTCATAGATATCTGTCGTACAGAAGGTTAATAGCTGCTTTAATACCTCAATAATAAAGTCTCAGGTTCTGAAACTGGGTGAAGCGTGTGCTGATCGAGCAACCTTTATCAGTTCCCTCAAGGTTACAGGATGGCCTTTTAGAAGAGAAACTACTTGCACGAAACCTAGGTCCAGAGTTTCCTGAAAACCACCTCGCATTTATGACATGCTATTACCCAAGTTCATCACTTTGATGCATTATTTTCTTTTTCAGGAGAATTTATGTTAATCTATACATTGATAGAACTTAAACAAGCTTCTGACAATATAATTAAAACCTAATTACTACACAACTCCAGTTTCATAATTACTGATTGCACACTGTAATTCACAACACACTTTTAAATAATTACCTCCTTTTGATATTGAGCTCATTTAGTAACCGTTAATACATAGCGTTAATATTGTAAAACGATTTTATACACTTTATCAAATGAAAACATTTTACATGTGTATATAAATAAAAATCTTATCTTAGTAACGCAACTTACGGGAGCCCATAGACTTTTCCTTCAATTCACGATTTGCTACAATTGGGATTGAACAAAAGAAAGGAAATATTAAAAGATGTCCAACTGAAAATTGAAAGTTCTACCTATCATTGAATGTTGAACAGGTTTTTTTGTCTGACAAATAATGTCATAAATAAACATTTAGCTAGATAGGGAATTAAACAGAACTCTAATTTTGTGCGTGGTTGCGTCTCTCTGAACAGCCTTCATATTGAAGTTAATTGTGATTTCAAAACAGTAGAACTATTTGATAAACTTAACGAGTTCAATCCCTGTGCCACAAGAACTTATACGTTCCAATTATTCATTATATTCACTCTCATTTGAATTAACAAATAAGAAAGGTATTAAAATTTTCCACGATCATTATCACACTCACTCAAGTTTATCATTGAAGCACAGTTTTACTAGAAAATGTTTTAAATTATTACTCCTACTACAGCAGATTATAGAGTTAAAAGTGCTGCGTCGCTGTTTACGCTTGCTATCCTAGGATCAGCTCTAGGTCGTGGCAGATAACTTACCCTACATGAAGGGTTCTGAACATAAGCTTCGTTCCATACAGTACATAGTGACGATAACCATAAATATATGTTAAATAAAGCCCTTCTTATGTTAAGAATTTATAGAGACTTTCACTCTTAAATGTCGATTTTTTATATTGAGGTTATTTGTATATTCTTTGCGCATACCTTATACTTCCTAGCCATTCAGTTGGTTCTTTGCTTACAGTCAATAGCTGCAAGTTTAAATTAAACCTACCACTTTATGCTCTAAATCAATATGTATATTAAGATATTTAATAGGGCTATCAATGAATTTTACTGGTGGTATTCTATTTTAATAAAGAGACAATTCAAATTTCTGTGTTGCAAAAGATTGAAGAAAAACATACTTTATACCAACTACTCATACTAATAAAAACTAACTAAGCACAACATTTTTTCATATAATTAATCGGGAAAAAACTATCAACTTACCTATAATCCATCGTACCATATATGATAACTCATATCCTGTTGAACTCATCCTAGTACTAGGCCTTCGTCTAAATACTGATTGTGCTCTGCGACAACGTCCACGACTAATACCAGAATGTTCAGTTGACAAACGCCGATCACTTGACATTGGTTCAGTTGAAACTAATGAAGATGCTCGTTTTTTAACTCCATTATTTGGATTTAAATAATTATTAAAATCGCCGAAATCAGATGATAAATGTGGACTTTCATGATTAACAGCACTAACATCGCCATCACCATGTATATATGATGAATGATCCAGATGTGAATTACATTCACTGATATCTTTTGGTGAAGTGATTTCAATTTTTGGTGCATTTATCTGTCTACTATTCAATCGTTTATCACTGACATGAATATTAGGAATGATTACTTTTTGTCGATCTATATTTTTGGAGTCAATAAATAAAAAACATTGTTAGGATAAGAAGTTAAATGATTTTATTTATACAAAGATCCGATTAATTTATTTTTGTTTACGAGTACATTTCAGATGGTCAATCGATAAAAACTAAAGAACACAAACTCCTTGTGAACGCTTGACCATAACCTACAATAGAATGAAACTTTGGATTTTCAAGTTTCGCTGTATGTATGTTACTTTCAGATCGCTGAGTTAAAATCTGTATGGTTTATATTTTTAATGTCTGCCGGTTTGCTAAGTTAACTTTCCAATGATCAGTATAAGTGAGGAATCGTTGTCCTACTTCCAACCTGCTTAATTTAACAGGTTATACGATTTCTTACTAAACCGTCAGCAACTTCATCTTGAAACTGGTTATTAATGAGAATACAACAACCCTACTCAAATATAAATGTATTGAAACAAAACAGTTTAAAACTTTATAATCTTAAAGTGGGCTGTTCTTAGCATATAGTGTCAAGGTTTAGTCAGATGATCTGTTAACCAAATATAGATTTCTTGACTCAACTTTAAACCACAGCTTTTTTACCAGGATGTTTATGATACTATTCGGTTTTCTGTAAAAACGTAGATGGAGTAGGATTCTGACCTGTGGCTCATTAACTAAACTCTGAGTGTTTTGCAATACCTGAATCACCTGTATATAATTATTTTATGGGATAAAATAATTGACGTTTTGTAGTCCAAAGAAAAATCTACGATTTTCAGACTTATCTAGGATGGCCCAAGCAATATCATGAAACATTCGAAATAAAATTGTTTCTCATTGAAACTTGGCTAATCAGAGATTATTGAAAGCAATTAGCATTGAGGATCTGCTCAAACTACCGAATCATAACGTAAATGGAAAACTTCGTAGAATTTTTATGTAAGTGTTACGATTCTCTAATACGGCTTCAAAGTACCTAACTTCTGGTCTGTTCTATATACCCTCATACATGATATCAAGTACTCTATGGAATCCTATATCAAGAATAGTCCGACTACCTCTTGTCCGGTCCATGAACATGATTGAACTCTATCTATCAATTCGACAAGCGGCTATCCATGCATGATACTAAACGCTGTATTCATTATGTATGTATGTTATATAGCGAAAGGCAAAAACCAAGAATCTCTGTACCTAGAGTTTCTGTTGTTTAGCACTGATGACTGTGATGTACTTACGATCTTGAGGAAAACAATCTCTCCGACAACGTTTATTGTAACTTCGAGTATCACTGTAGAAAATCAGATCCCTTAATATTCCAACTGCCTTTAAACATCAAGTGTCAAATAGCGCATAACAAGTTTCCAGTCATACGCTATCAGCTAACTGAGAGATAAACAATTCTTCTCACTTCACTTTGAAGTTTCAACTAGTAATACTATCTAAAACCATCATGAAAGCTTCATGATAAAATTATTTTCCTCAAAAGACAACACCTTTGAATTATATTTTTTCCTATGAATAACATACTCTGATAAGAAAAAATTTGAAGTCATCTTCAAAACAATTATCTGTCTTGTTTAAGTATACACCCAACGGTTTAAATAGATTTGATGTTACAAAATGAATCAATCGCCGTTAAAAAAAATCAATCTATCATCCTAAATTTGGACCTGTTGTTGTCACTTTATTTCCCGTAGTACACCAACCAACTATATGAATATACTAACTTCCTGAAATTCAATCATCATTGCAGTAATTCATTGTTGTAAGAAACGTTCGTTTCATAAACAATTTGCATCATTTCACAAAAATTCATGTTACTTTCATTTTAAATATTATCTCCTTAACAAGACAAAAATCATGAATAAACAAAAAAGCTTGTCACTTAGAATTCATTTAAAAAATAAAAAATTTTGATCTTTAATTGAATAAAATGTAGCTTGTGTTACAACAACACAAAATACTTTTCCTTTTCCCACTTACCTACTGATCCAACATTTCCATTCAGCTTGGTTAGTGTTGATAAATTTGGTTTTTCAAGAGGTGCTACTTGTTCAGAAATAACAACACCTGAATATAAATTTTTCATTCCATCTTCAATAATTATATGATTTTGCAAGGGTTGAGATTTTTTAAATCGATAAAAGTTGAATTTTTTACGAATTCTTCGCAAAAAAGTAAATTGTGGACAAATACGTTTACATGTTTGTAATAAGCTTCGTCGTTTACGACTTAAAGCATTCAATGGTTTTGATAGAGTTTTTTGTAAAAACAATGGTATAATACTGTTGGTGCCATTTGTTCTTTGACGATGCATGTAAGTACTACTAATCCATGTGGTTAATACATAGATTAAGTAGAATACTAAAAATCCTATAAAAAGAAAATAACTGATTTTGTCAAAAAAAATTAAATAGTATGATTGAAAATATTTCTTTTAAAATATAAACTAATTGTTAATCATCATGGATAGAGGGCGAGTAAATGAAATATTTGAAATCAACAATCAATCATTGTTAGACCACCATTAGAAATCTGAAAGCACTGTACGGCCGTTTCGTCCTGGTATAGGACTCATCAGCAGTGAGCATCCATGACTCCTGGTTTGATGGTTAGGCGTTCGCGCACAATAGCGAAGGTCCTGGGTTTGAATCCTGCGAGATGCAGGAGTCGTGGATGCGCACTGCTGATGAGTCTCATACCAGGACGAAACGGCCGTCCAGTGCTTCGAGGTTTCTTCTAATGGTGGTCAAACAATGATTGATTGATGATTTCAAATGTGTAAAAAAAACACAAACCTCCAAAACTCTGTCCCAAAATGAAGTATTCTTAACCACTGACATAAAGGTACTGTAATTCTCAGTAGATTTAGTCGTAGATGTGAGTATGCAGTAGACGGATAATTTATGATTTTCGGTATCTCTATGGTTGTTGTCCGTTTGTGATTTGAAAAAAACTTCGAATTACATCATTTTTCTCATCAGATAAGAAACAAACGAATAGTATAGTGATGACTGAAAAACGAGTTTCTATATTCATAACACAACCTTGTAATTACATAGTTTAAGATTTATTTGTGATCAAAATTACTGTGCACTGTTGAATTATTCATTTAGTATCAACTGAGTGACCAAAGATTTAGTAGTCGATTTCTCACTTCAGCATAAAAGTTACTACCGATTGAAGACTTCAATTTCTACATTACTTTTAATGAATTAACTCTTCTGATTGTTTTTACTTGTTCTTCACATTCACTAGATTGAAAACAATTAGAATGCATAATCCTTTGTTAATAGAAATTAAATTAACTGTTAATCTTAACTATTTTTAAGAAAAAGTAAATTGATCCCAGTCTAGTAGTTGGTGACTATGACTTTAGCTAATGCGTAATATTTTTTGGGGAATACATTGAAAAGAATGTTTAGTTTTGGAAATATTAGTGAAAAACTACTGAGTATAATGTCAATTATATAGTTTTTAAAAGTCAGCTTAATATCACTAAGTCATAAACCAAATCGTTTTTTTTACAGGAAATTCCAAACTATCAATGATAGACAATAATATTCGTCAACAAATTAGATCTTCGCAGATATTCGATTTCAATCAATCAATCAATCAACAGTAACGTAGAACTTCGTACGTACGTACGTACTGACATCAGTTCAAGTTGTCTTACCACATTAGCACAGAGATGTAATTGTCAATTTAATGCCCATAGTAGTAGTAGAGGTAGTGAAATTATTAGCAGTAATCGGAAAGATTAGGGTTTGAAGATATTATTCAAGAAGTAGAATCTGGTGTAATAAACTTAAAAAGAAAAAGATATTCGGTTTACAAGCATGCTTAACATATATGTATATTGACAACAAAATATCCAAGTCATAAACAACAAACCTTTGATTTGAATAAGGAACAGAAGAGTACTAGCAATGAATTCAACGTTAAATGAGTAAATGCATTTGATCACTTTTTTAATATTTTCGTCAATAATGAGGATTAAAACAATTTTCATCATCTGTACTGGTTATTTGAATCTTCTCATTATTGTTTAGCACTGCAGACGATTAGTCTCTTTGACATATTTGCATACTGTGTGGATTGAATCAAAATTGCTTTCAGGTTTCAAGCAGTGCTTAGAAGAGGCGAATAGTGGCTGGCAGTGGAATCCAGATGAGTGACTTTTTGGACTCCGTAACTAAGTGAATAACTGAATGGCCTATAAAGTGTGATGTACTGCATTCGAATCCCAGGGAGAACATCAACTATCAGAAGTAGGTACATCCAGTTGACAGGTCCTAAAGGTACCATTAGTAATCAGATGGCACCGCATAAATACTTCATCCTGCCATGGGACTTCTAAACGTCTCACATTTAAATGCTCCATATGGTATCGAAAACAAGACCTTCAGGTTTTAGATAACACTTAATCATTAGAACCAGTGACGTAGCACTCGAAGGTACGATTTCGATTTCAATAACCTTGTGAGATAGCGTGATGATCATTCAATACCGCTAGTGATATTTGTCTCTAAACTAGCAACGCAGAACTCTTTTGGTCATGGTTCTCTTGTTCTTAATAGTTAACATCCCGACGTGGATTGATTTGTAGAGAATACAACCCACAAACTAAGTTAATCTGCACAAAATTCCTTCAATCAATTTACATATACGATAAAACAAACCTGTAAATAAACTTCAATAAATACAATGGACTAACCAATAGCATCTGTAAAATAAATTTTTCGACGTATCAAAATTGATGCAGCCCAACTGACAGCTATCATATAAAATATAGTATCTTTTAAAAATGGTCTACGACTAATTTTAAATGGCTTTAAAAATATCACCAATCCAGCTGTAACTGTATTTACTAGAAGACCAGAACCTAAATTAAAATAAAGAAAATAAACAGAATGAAAACAGTATCCATGATGTTGATGATAATGATGATGCTTACCTTATATAACTAGCAGTATTATGGCGTTTTTTTCCCAACATAATAATAAGCAGTAGTTTTAACTATGTTCTTAATATTATGTTTTACGTTTTATTTCAATTATTAAGACCTCCAGTTCCACTTTGAATGCCTACTTGAATTTCACTCACTAAAACATATCTAACATTTGTTTCTGTCATACTCGTCTCTAGGTATGCTTACAACTATTACGGGTTCACCTTGGTCGAATAACGAGAACGAAACAACGAACCAGCGTACAGGTCGGCTACTCTGATACTATTGTCCCAATCGTACCAGCAAGAAGTCTTGATATAGCGTAGAAAGTGTATTCTACAAACACCCAGCCAGCACACATGTGAATCCAAGCACACAAATCGCGTTTATACTTGGGAGAGTCACAAAATAGCACACTAAAATGACACAGTAACCAATCACAGTCCAGGATTTTTCTGGTGGAAAATATGATCTCAAGTTTAACTGATCAGCCCATGAAATAAATCCGAGATGAAGATATTTATCAAGCACGTTGTGGAGATCTAACATCACTAACACCATGTTAATCTTCATTTATCATTTCAATCAATCCAACCAGTCTATGAGTGAGTTTCAGATGAATCTGGACGACTACTATGTACAATAACGAGTCCTTCATATAATACATATAGAAGAAGCTAAAAGAAACCATCTGAAAAGATTTAGTTTGTTCACTGCTTTCGATAAACATCAGATGGAATGTTAAACGGCGGATGTTTTTTTTCATTTCGAACAATAAAATAAAATCATAATTCATTTGTTACAACTTAACATTGAATCCTATAATGTTACCAAATTTAAAGAATTAGTTACTTTGAGACCTAATATCTTTCATAAGCATGAATAAATAACTGTGTTTGTTCTATGCAGTGAAGAAAACATACTTACCTAATAAAAATCCTAATCCAAGTCCTTCATCTGGTGCATCTGGATCACCAGTTGTAATTGCTGTGACTGCACTAAAAACATCTGGAGCTCCATTTCCAAATGCTAAAAGTGTAACTCCCTGCAATTCCAATGAAAAAGAAAACAGATTTAAAATTTTATCTTCATAAGTGTTGATGAGTAGCTTCAAATCACAAGTACTGGTATCGATCACTTCTAACATAAACAATCGACTGATATAAATGGTATGAAATTAGAAATAAAGAATATTTTTATTTTAAAATTTAGCTTAAAATGAATCTAGAAAACATATTTTATCTTATCTATGACTCGTCTCTCAAATATAATATCTGTATTCATGAATAAATCCTTACAAAGTATTTATTAACCGGTAGGTTTCTACAGTTTCTAAAATCAAACTAACTGTGTACAAAGTTATTTTTGAATTTTAATAGTTTTAGTTAAAATCTTTATTACGGGGTTGTCAAGATTGTTAAGTTACACATTTAAAATCATGAATCGATCTATGTTTAACCACCATTAGAAACCTGAAAGCACTGAAAGACGGTCGTTTGGTCCTGGTATGTGACTTATCAGCAGTGTGCATCCATGACTCCTACACTCCGCAGGATTCGAACCCAGGACCTTCAGTGCTCCTAACCTCTGGACCACTGAGCCGGTATCTAACGGTCATCCAGTGCTTCCAGGTTTCTTCTATTAGTGGTCCAACAATCACTGATTGGTGATTTCGATGTCTAATGTCTTTATCTCTAGAAACTTCCAATCTAATTATCAATAGGGCTCAAATTCGTAAGTTACAATAATGATAGATCCAAGTCAGCAGTTAGTATAAGTACTACTGTGATGCGCGCTACTTATAATTAGTATCTGACGCGAGTGAAAACGTAATGTTTGGCAGCAGAAGATGAGGGAGGATCAAGAAAGGAAGAGTGGAGACACAACGGAATTTGTATGAAACGCATGAATAGTGAAATGTCAGACAATGGATTGATGTTTGCAACAGGAACAGTCCAGTTCGATACGATGGATTGATGTTTTGCAAATTAACGTTTACGATATGGTTTTCCTATTTTACTGAGTAACTCTGTAATTTTCGTTAAATACAATTCGGTTGCCTCCACCTGTGTTCTTCTTCACTACACTACCATCTGTAAAGTGACTTTTTTAGTAATCTAGGTATTTCAATCCTTTCTCCTGTGCTATTGATAAAGTTAAACGAATAAATATTTCCAAATTTAACTCAAAATTTTCGATTAGATGGCAATCTTTTGGAATTTCATCTCCTATTGATATGATACTTTATGCTTCGAACAAGCTTAAGTGCACATGAACATAATGAAACAATTTGCAAGCATTGTTGTCTGATTGAAACTGTGAATAAAATGATGGGAGAACTATCAGCTGAACAGCATAACACGAATTCATTTTATATCGTGGTTACTGGTAAGCTGCTAACAACCTAAGCATAATAGTATTATTCATGAAGAATTATCTCACATACTTTATGTCATCATATCGGAAAAGTTATGAGCAGTGACGAAAAACGCGATAAGTGTAGGAAAACTATAAAATATGTTTATATACTAAGTAATATGATTATTTATAGACTGAATGAAATACTTTTCGACATTCATCAGTAAAACATTTACTACTGTCAGGAAACTTCAGTTTCCATGAAAGACTTAGTATTTATTTGAAAAATAAATTTCATTCACCCTTTAAAAAGTTCGCTCATTTTAATTACTCAGTCATATACACTGAAACACATATATCATGCCGTAAAAGCACATTAGACAAAACACTAGTGAATATAATAAATTAAAATTTCGACTTTTTACAGTTACATGAAAGCTAATTTTTCTGAACTCTCTAAATAGCTAGCTTTGTGATAATCTCTAAAGATGTCAAGTTTTTTTTTAACTACTGAGATGTAATAAATGTACTGTGCAAATGGAACTTTATTTCATTTCCCAAAGCAAAAATTTTAATTAATTTCCCTTAATTTTATTAGATACTTAAGTGTATATTTCATACATCTTCAATTATCGACATGATTTCAATCAACAATTCCGATGTACTCAAACTCATCTGGTCCAGTCAAGTTCTAAATCATGTGGTACTTTGTACCAAGCCTTATCTCCTAGCTTGCAAAGTACATAAAGTGACAGTATTTAATTATTTGTAGTTTAAATCCTGGACAATAATCTTGATTTCCCAATCTTGATTACGATATTTGGATGGATGTCTGAAATCCTCTCCAATAACCAACCTGATAGTTGAATGAAAGTTCCACTGACACAGGCTAATTAGAAACATGCAAAATAATTATTCAAACTAAATAGGACTTATTGTTTATTGACCTAGAATATGCCGATGACATAGTTCTATTCAGTGAAGACGCTGACAAAATGCAGAGTCTTCTTACTACCCTAAGCAACAATACAAGCACGTTCCGGATGCGGTTCTCACCGTCGAAATGTAAAATGTTGCTTCAAGATTGGGTTGAATCGGTACCTGAACTTGTGATAGAGAGTGAAGTAGTCGAATGTGTAGACCGCATCACGTATCTGGGAAGTCTAATCCGTGCTGATGGCCTGGTGACTGACGAAATCTCAGCTCGGATACAGAAGGCTTGATTAGCTTTTGCCGACCCGCGTCAATTATGGCGTAGGCGAGAAATCCGCTTGCTAACCAAAGGACAAGTGTACTGTTCGGCATTTCGCTTCGTCCCACTATACGGATACGAAACATGGCCGCTAAGAGTAGAGGACTTTCGTAGGTTACTAATCTTTTATCACCGGTGTCTCCGAAGCACTGCTCGTGTATCCTGGGACAACCGTTTAAGCAATACTGTCGTTAGGAAACGCATACTAGGTAAGGATGGCAAATCAATAGATGAAGTATTGAAACTTCATCAGTTGAGGTGCTTAGGACAAGTGTTACGTATGCCTAACCACTGACTGCCTCGACGAGCTATGTTTTGTGGTGTAGGAGTAGGTTGGAAGAAAGTTAGGGACGGCTAAACCAAAACATAGCACAAATGCATGAAGTCACTGACCAATGGACTGAGTCATGTTGGCAGATGTAGACTAACTGGTTGGGGTCCGCGAGACGATAGTCCCCAATTGTTAGAGACCTTGAACGACATGACTCAGAATCGTTTGCAATGGCGCAGGTGCATCCACTCTTTGTGTGCTTTTTAATTGTAACCTTCTGAATTCCTCATAATCTCTGTCCTTTTCCTTCTAAATTTATCTCACTGAATTATACTCCTCGAATCGTTTCTTCGCTCCCTAATCTTCTCCATTACTGCTTATACTTCTACTGTCTCTACCACTATGGGCTTTGAACTGACAGTTACGTCTCTGTGCTGACGTGGTATGGCAACCTGAACTGATGTACTCACGTACGAAATTCTGCGTTGTATCTCTCTGTCTGTCTGTCTAGACTTACTATTTAAACCAAAATATTAAAAAACTATTTAGAAATCTCATATTTTAAGTGTTTATTGCTATTTAGATTAGAACTTTTCTTACTTACCGCTAAATTTTGACTCATCCGTAAACTTCGAGCCAAAGCAATTAGAGAAGTACTAAAGCTATGAAAATGTATAGTTTTATAGAAGAAAAAAAATAAATAAAGGCTTTACTGAATGGTAACATATTAAAATGTATTCATATTTAGGGAACTATGTAATAAGTAGTAAATGCCTATCTCATTTTATACAATGGAAGTATGAGCTATTGCATGTAGAATTCAACTGTTAGAATTTCAATGAAAAAATATGTAAATAATCGGTTACTTCCCATAAATCAACATTGTTTCTACTAATTGTATACTACTTACAAGTAGTTTTAGTACTGTTCCAAAAAACTGTTGTTCACTAAATATTTCTTAATTTAAACAATGTTTTGTGTTATACTAGAATGATAAGGTTGGATATTGTTTGTTTTTCGGTATACAGTCACTATTTTTTGTATACCATTTTAGTTTTAATATAAAAGGCTTAAATGAACTTCCTCAGTTTTTTTTCAACCTATATAAGACTAAGCAATGTAAAATCTCCACTCAAAGAATGTATCCCATTATAAATATTTTTAAAGAAAACATTAAGTCAATAGAAATGATTGCTTACAATGAGTCCGATATTGTTGCAAATGCTCCCAATAATATAATAAGCCAAAATACCTGTAAAACATAAATAAATCAACCAATCAAATGATTACTACTTCATAACTAGAAATCAACAGATGCATATGGTTTTGACATTACAAATGATTACTAAACAGCTAAATAAAAGGAAATATATTTACATATATTTATATAACAAAGTAATCTTTCTATGAAACATATGTCAGCCAAAGATCATGAAGTGCTGAATAATGGTGTTTTCATAGTTTAGAATGATGTTGTTACTTATGACTTTCAGATAATCATTTTTTGAAAATTGTTTATAAGATTTTTATCACATTTCAAATTAAGTTGAAGTTCAATAGTTTCATAAATAATTGAAAGTTTTTTTTAATTTCAATGTGGTTATCTATTGCGTATGACATCATTTTTTTACTAAATATTTTAATCAGTTTTAAAATATACTTCATAATAAATTAAATCAGTTGAAGCAATGCCCGTAATATGAACATTTCACTTGAAGTATTTAACATATTACTTGATAACTGTTTGATAACAAAATAATTGATCTGGTATGCTCGTCTCTAGGTATGCTTAAAACTATTACGAGTTCACCTTAGACGAATAAGGAGAATAAAACAATGAACCAGCGTCCAGGTAGGCTACTGTGATCCATTGACTAAACTGTACCAGCAAGAAGTCTTGATATAGTGTAGAAATTGTATTCTACAAACACCCAGCCAGCACACAAGTGAATCCGAGCACTCAAATCGCGTTTATTTATACTCTATAGAGACGTCTTCGGGAGAGTCACAAAAATAGCACACTAAAATGACACAGTAACCAATCACAGTCAAGGATTTTCCTGCTGGGAAATGTGATCTCAAGTTCAACTGATCAGTCCATGAAATAAATCCTAAATAAAGATATTTATCAAGCCAGTTCTGGGGATATAACATACCCATCAATTACACAAACTCAAACATCATAATCTCATATATTCGTTGGTAAAGTGAAGTGTTTTTCGATTAAAGTCGAATATAGGATATGAAAAACATTCAAGAAAATAAATACAGTTCAAAGATATTTTATTGTATTCCAGAATATCTCTGTCGTTGAAAGCACCAGTTAATAAAAATGATTTGTCTGTTTAAGTATTGATTACTAATTATTAAACAAGGCAAAATTCAATGTTCGATATATTTAAACTCTGTAGTATATAGATGATTGTTTTAGTAAGCAGTGACTATCTGCAGAGTTAATGAATTAGTATGTTGGTATAAACACTTGTTAATGACAGGAGAATTTAGCTGTTCTGTATTGTAAACTAAAAGTACTCTAAAAACATTGCTCTTTCACTTCACTCTTTTGATTAACAGACCTCAGTTCTTATTAACTCTCCTTATAGTATATTATGAAACCATTTTTGTCAACTTAGTCATGAAATGTTTTAGAGTTTATTAAAATAAAAATAAACTGTGATAAAATCTTCTGTTATCAAATTAGTTGCAAAGTGTGTGATGAGTAAATGTGCTGAAAATAAAAAAACAAAGATTCTATGTTCAGTTGATACTGAATAAGTTAAAAGAATAAAAAATGTTTTCTATAAGACTTAATGAAATTTAAAGCAGTCCATGTACAGATGTTGTGGGATTAAGCATATGAGGTCTCATACTTGACAAAAATAAACAACTGTCTTCAACTTTTTTATTCCTATAGTTTACTTCACAAAGTGAACTTAATTCGACAACAACAATCACCACAAATCCGCCTATACTGTTTATCATCCTGTGCTTACCATTGACTAATTTCCTGAGATAATCTTAAGAGTTCTGATGAGAATATGTGATTGGTGTAGCTCAAGCACATTTGTGTTTTCTGTAGTTGTCCACCAGTTGTCTTGAAAGATAATTGCGAAACACTACGAAATTGCTGAAGTTCGAAATGTAAACCACTCGACATTGTCTCGGTTGTTCAAACGCTTGTCGCAAGATATGAAGGTCCTAGATTCAATACCCTGTATAGCCAGTGATGTGAACTGTTGAAAACAGATAGTAGAAACACATGTCTAGTACTTGCTGATTCTTAACGGTTGCCAAATTAAGCTGGTATCTTTAAGATTTAACAACTTTTACTAAACTGAATCTATCCTGATTGCAATGAACATTGTCATTGTCACAAACCCTTTTAGTAAATATTTTAATCGTCACTATTACCCAGAATTATTAACCGAAAAAAACAATAAGTAAGTATATAAACTTGAAATGTTAATCATTTATACATGACTATAAAGTGAGAGACAGAGAAATAGAAACATTAACAAAACAATCTTATTCTGTCTACAGCTCATAGTATGATGTAAAATACTACATCTTCATTATCATTAGTTACAATGTTTTTAAAGCAAAAAATATTAATAATCATAAAAATAATTCATTTATGAATTATTTATCAGTTTCTGCATAATCAGCAAGCGCATCTATTTACAATTTTGTGTATTATTTCATCTATGATTTTATGTAGAATACAAAAATGTCCAGTACATTTTTTTTTGGTCAGCATTCCTTGTTAAAACACACTGTGTACAAGCTAATTTGATTCAGCTGCTCTACTTTTACATTAATGTCTACTTAATCAATCTGTTGTAGATAATGTGCTTTGTTTTTTTATTATTATTTTGCACGATAAAGAAAATCAGTCTCATTACAAATGCACACATCATCATTATCATCAGTCTTGTTTTTTTTTTGAGAAAAAAATTAAAACAATCAAGTGTAAACATTTGATAACCTTTTTTTTCATTCCTTCTTAACTGACTTACTTTCTTACTTGTTTACTTGTTTTGTTTTGATTTGGCTGTCTCTGGTCATTTTGATTGTGAGAAAAAGCTCTTGTTTGCATTTTGCAATAAATTATCGATATGACCAGTGCCAAATTTTACTTCACTACTGAAAGTTGTATATACTTGCATTGCTGGGGTGTAAAGATTGTTAAGTTACATATTTTTGAAACCAACCCGTACGTAATGCAATTACCTGTGCTCACTAGTGACTTGCTTCGTGAAGAATCTTCTCCGAGTTCTAGTGGGAAGTTGTGACTAGTGAAGTTCAACCTCATCGGGTGTAGACAGTAACTACTACCGAAGACAGTGTATGAGGTTGTGCAACTCCATGAATTGATCAAGTTAGACATTAACACCATTAGATATCGGCTCAGTGGTCCAGAGGTTAGGCGTTCGCACGCAAGACCGAAGGTCCTGGTTTCGAATACTGCGAGTCGTGGATGCCAACTGTTGACGAGTCCCGTACCAGGACGAAACGGCCGTCGTTCAGTGCTTCCAGGTTTCTAATGGTGGTCTAACATGGATCAATTCATGGCTTCAAAAATGTATAATACATGTTTGTCCAATGAACAATTTCATTTCTTAATAATTCTTGTTTAAATCTAGTTTTGGTGTAAAATAGATTTATAAATGTATTCATGGGTAGAATTGTTACGTAAAATAAAAAAAAGTCTACCATCATCTAAAACTTTTTAAAGAACTTGATTTAAACTGCAAAAAGTAATAAATGAACAGTTCAATAGTCAATTGCAGTAGTTAATAAGTGTGAAAGTAGATCAATAGATCATACATCTTTTTTTCGGAAATATTTTATTGAACTGTTCAAAAATTCTAGCAACAAATATTTGATTAATAATCATGCCTACTCGTCAGATAGGTTTATCTGAATCACATTTATTCAGCTTGATTTTCATTTTACCAAATGTAGAAGCGTAAACATAATAATTTTTTTTATATTTCCTCTACTGAGAGTAATAAAATACCTAGTGTTTTTTTCAAAGTTATAACCTATTGATTTAATAAATAAATTAATTGATTCACCTAATTCTCGATGGGTTAACAATTTTAATAGAGATTAATTTGTAATCTGTGTTATTTCATAAAAAACTGCTTTTATCACACAGTTATGTAAGCCATCACCTGCCTACAAAATCTATTCTAAAAAATCTCTTTAAAACCTTCATCTATTCTCTACCAACTAAGCGACAAGAATAAATCACTGAATAGATACCAATGTCATTTCATGCATCAAAAGTTATAATCAACTAGATCTTGGTTATCATAGATGACTGATTAACAATTAGTTGAACATATTGAAATGAAAATCGTTTTGTTTTTTTTCTCAACTTACAAAACAATCAACTAACTGACCAAAAACCACCTGCTTTTTAATTCATGAAGAACCACTTTAGAAATTAGTTGCAAACGATTTATTTTGAATTTACTCAAAAATTTGGAATTCTCAACGACGTTAGAGATTTTCAATATCAAAATTCAATCAATTAACTGACATCCATGAATATATTATAACTTTGTCAGAGATCATAGAAAATAATCTAGAACTTGACCACTCAATAGCCATATCTAATAAGAAGATATTTCTTTCATTCAAATTATGAATAGTAGTAATATATCAGTAGAATGTTGATCATCAAACATATAAAGTTTTCATGTAAAAATGCTACCTCGTTAAAATTCATCACTTCAACGCAAAATAATTCATTCTTTATCGAAATGCTTGATATAAGCATTTCAGCTATTTCTAAAACAATTTTTATCACAAACAACAATTAGCTGAAAGGCTAGTGAAAATCTAAATGACCTGGATATTTGCTCAAACAACTAAAACTTGGTAGTTATGTTCACAAATAACTCTCTAGGAGGTAGGACCCATGATCATCAAGTCTTTTGGAAAGTGCAATAACATTAGGTCTTTGTGTTTGATATTGGTTGTTTGAAAATTTTCAACTTGTATAGCCTCATTTCATGAAACTGGTATGTTGACATGGCACCTTCTATCTGTTTGACTCCATAGGCCAAATTTTCTCTCTACAACATGGGTAAATTTAACAATATAAATCATTGGATTCCAAGCCAGTGGCTTAAAGTTTAGTGACTCCAAAAATACCTTACGAATTCAGACTTCACTAGTTATGGATTTGTTGGCCTGTGTTACTAATATATAACAGAGTAAAACAGAACCCATGTCTAATGT